AAAATAGTTCTGATAGCAAACTTACACAAACTACGTTAGCATTTTGTACCCATTTTTAAAACAACACAAAACGATCGAAAATCGAAAAATGGTGAATAAAATAAATTTTTCTAAACTTCTGGTGGAATCTTGTCGATCGTTTGCCATTTTCGTTTTCTCTATCCGACAATGAGCTATATTTTACTGCCGTCAAAATAACTTAGTGGCAGTTTGCTGTTTGGTTATGTATATATTACGTAATCGTTTTATTTGGTTGTCAGCTCGCTTTATCGTATTTCATCTCGATTTTCCTGTTTTTTAAAATGTGGATTTGGTTACTCGAAAAATCAGTTTCTGGAGAATGAGTTTTTCTAATATTCTGAAGTGCAGATTGAAAAAAAACTAGACAACTCTATAAAATATTCATTCACTGTCACTCATGCTTATTTCAGTATTGAATAAAGTTGACAAAACAATTGAATTAGTTAATAAAAATATAGTAATACGATAATAATCATCACTGTCGTCATTAAAACGTTATGTTTAAGCGAAGGTCATCTCAATCGTAATGTGATAGGCAAATGTCCTCCACTTTCAAGTGATATATGAATATAAAAAGAGACATTCCAATGAGCAGAGCATACTTCGTCGTGCAGAAGGTGAGTTTACTTTGAATTTTTATATTTCCATTCTAAGATATCCGATTTATGTACTTAAATGGGAATAAAATGTAAACAATTTGTTTAGAATTTTTCGTGTTTATTTTTCGCCTTATTTTAATACTATTAAAATTAATCGTTGTTTAATCTTGATCTTTTATTGAAAAAGTTACAAAAAGTCAAATTCAGTTTATCTAAATTTTGCTTTAGTTTTGTATGTATCTATATATAAAGTTGTAGGGTCAGTTAAGTAGTAAAGCAAAGTTGCATATTGTTTCAGGAGTAGTAGCAATGGGATCTTTCATTCCTCTTCTGGTAGCTGTGCTAGCTTGTGCAGCGTTCGTTCACTCGGCACCTCCAAACGTCACTGCCACTTGTACTTTTACCAAGTACGACAAGGACGCGATTAAAACGGCCCAAAAAGAATGTAGCGAACTAACACTCAACGGTTTCGAGGTTCCAGCTGGTGAGACTTTGGACTTAACCCATCTTAAAAGCGGTGCCAAAGTTGTCTTCAAGGGAACTATCACTTGGGCATACAAAGAATGGAAAGGTCCTCTAATCAAAGTGGCAGGTAGCAATATCGAAATCATCGGTTCCTCAGGGCACGTCCTCGATGGTAGGGGGAAATTGTGGTGGGATGGTAAAGGAGGAAACGGAGGCAAAACGAAGCCAAAATTCTTCGCTGCTAAGCTGACAAACTCTGAAATTCACAAGCTGAGCATCAAAAATACGCCTGTTCACACCTTCTCTATAAGCGGATGTGAAGGTTTGGTAATTCAAGATGTTACCATCGATAACTCAGCTGGAGACTCTGGCGGTGGTCACAACACCGATGCATTCGACGTTGGTAACTCAAATGATGTCACCATCAAGCACTGCACCGTCTACAATCAAGACGACTGTTTGGCTGTTAACTCTGGAACCAAAATCACCTTTACCGACAATTACTGCTCAGGTGGTCATGGTATATCCATTGGTTCCGTTGGTGGTAGAGACAACAACGTTGTCAAAACCGTTAAAGTCAGTGATTGCGAAATCACAAACTCTGACAACGGAGTTAGAATCAAGACTGTCTATGGAGCCAGTGGATCCGTATCGGACATCACCTACCAAAACATCAAATTGTCCAAGATTCACAAATACGGTATTGTTATCGAGGGTGACTATGAAAATGGCAGCCCAACTGGTACACCAACTGGAGGCGTTCCAATCACAGGTTTGACCGTGAAGAGTGTAAGCGGTTCTGTAGACTCGGGCGGTGTAAATGTATATATCTTGGTGGAAAATGCTAAAGACTGGCACTTCTCTAGCATTAGTGTCTCTGGAGGAAGTAAGAAGAAGACATGCAAAGGCATTCCATCCGGTGCAGGAATTTCTTGTTAATTTTAATAGCCTTTATAATTTGTAATGTACAGAATAAATTGATTGCATGCAATTTCTATTTTATTTAACTAATACACAAGAGAACAAATTAAGTCGTGCCTTAATTTGAAAGCAGCAATGTTATATATGACATTATCAAGTAGATACAGATATCTTTACCTCAAATTTTTGCCAAATATGTCATAAAAATCACATCGTTTGAACATGGACATATACTGAACATGAACATGAACATATACTTAGGTACCTACATAAATTGCCCACAAGTAATTGCCATCTAACTTTATCTTAACATAAATGCATTGTCTGTTTTTTTTTTACGTCAAAAATACTACTACGATACTTGATTACTTTGATAAGTAAAATCTTAAGTGTGCATTTATGTACGTGTCTTGTCTACAAAGAGATATGCATTAAATAAAAATGACCGAGAGTGCTTAGTTACAAAATATCTCAATAGAAAAATGTCGCTCTTGAAACAATTGTACTTTCTTTAATCTATAAAATTTTGCCCTAGTTTTTAAAATGTTCCTAAATTGAATTCACGTCAAATATTAATCTTTGCTTCTTGTGTTTTTGAGACCCTGTCCTCTGGTTTGGTTACAATTAGATTTCATTTATTAATTGTTCTGCTTTTACCGTACGTAAAATTTATGAATGTTTTTAACTCGTGACGTCGTTTATCCTTTGTCTTCTCTTGGTGTGTGGTCAATTTTTTGGACAAAAATTAGATTTGTGTATATAATTTTGCATAACACTGTGTTAATCTAGGTATATTGCCCCTTTTTAGGCCCGGTTCTATTAGTATAAAGTTGCGTATAGTAATTGTCCGGATATCTTATACTTCGATTTATTCCAAGTATAACAGTGTTTGCGTTCTACATTGTTCGTAGAACTGCCGAAAAACGCCGTATACAGCGCTCATATTTAGTTCAAGTGAACTTACAGGAAACAATGAAATGCGAGAAACATGTTTTGTTCATCTCCGCAAAATCCCGGCAGCAGTTAACATACAGCCCGCATAATAAAATCTTAATGTTAGATTTGATCTCTTTAGTAGTGACGTCACATACGCCAAATAATAGGCAACCCCATAGTACATTGTGCGCGGGAGCGCAAATGGCTCCATCTGTCGTGCTGACTCCCAACTGTGCCATTGAAATGGCTACAGTAGGAAGCGACCTGCTATATTGCAGGTACTTGTTGCACGACTGCCACCCACAGAGGGCGAAGACAATGTTTTAATTGCCAGTGTTGCGAGAAACAACTACTCCGAGGGCTATATGCCCTTACCGGCATTGAATTATACTCGCAACACCTAGGATCGTTCGTCAGTTTAACCCACCAGGCACAGACCGGTTTCGGACTTATTAGTCCTCATCAGTGTGAGTCATAGGTGATCCATTTGCGCTCCCGCTTACAATGTATTTCCTTGTCGTGACGATACGACGCAAAACAGCTGGATCGTTCGTCGGTTGTCTCATAGTTGTTTCTTGCAACACTGGCAACAATGTGTTGAACGTCTTGCATGTTGTGGAAGACGGTTCGTCGCGGTTGGGGAGTTTCAGGCATGTTTTCGAAACATCCGCGAAATTTCGGAAGTGCGCTAGTATCCATTCCTACGACAACAAACCAAAAGAATTATAGAATTTATATTTTTTATATAACAATATCGACATTTATAGTAATTCAATGTTACTGAGCATGCGCATTAAAGATAATTTTATGTAAGCGAAGTAGCCTCGCAACAGGATATCATTCTAGAAAAGTTTGGTTTGGCATTTGAAGAAAAAACACTCGATAAACACACTGACACAGCACAGTACCAAGAAAAACAATAAAAATACTTAGTAGAACTAGAAAATGCCAAGATTAAACAAAAGAAAAGAAAATACGTTAAAGACAGCAATGACATATCAACAAGATCTCACCTGCGTATGAGGCTATTCTTCTCGAGCATGCGCATTAGGGATAACACGGCTAATGTTAAATTTTTACTTTATTTAAATTAGAATATCTATCGTTTTTGTAAGATCTTAAATACTTCTAAATCCTTGTAAAAATAAATTAATTTGAAGTTGTTCATTTCTATAGTATCTATATAAATAGAAACAAGGGTCAGATTCGATCTGTACAATTTCAATTATGACAATTTGTTGCGAGTTGCCTAAATAAGTGACGTCACACTAAGAGAATCTATCTTAAAATATTCTTGAGTGGTACTAGTTTTGCCTATATTCTATGTGTTATTGGCTACCCATACACCGTTACCGTTATTTTTTTTAATATTGACGTTATGACTACGAGTTTAAGATTGTCCGTTTATGTCCTCAAACTCGAATTCTCCCGCAAATTTATTTGTCGGCTTTCCATCTACACTCTTACATACATATCTAATTACACCTTACGTGCTTATAATGTTGCCTATCGAATCTGTTTGAGTTGAGAAGTATTTTTTTATCAGATAACTTTTTTACCCTTTTATACAATTGTTGTCAGTATCTTATAGATTAAATATGACGAGTGTATCTATTATCAGAAAAAAGTTGTAGTATCGTATGATTTTAGAATTCCTAGACTAGATCGAGTCGTTATAGATTATTTCTGAAGAATTCATGGATAAAGTAATGTTTTCTTTGTTTTGATAAACATTAGAATAAACAAATAACTATCTTTACATGTTTCAAATTTCTTCCCGTGGGTAAATTATTTGTATTAATAGCTATAATTTAATTTAAATTTTTGAAACTGAAATGTTCCTCTTCAGATAAATCGTTGAAGATATAACTTAATTTTTTGTAATTTTAATCTTAGTAAAACACCAAAAAATTACATACGAGTCACGGAAACCTTCCGTGACAGTCAAAAATAGCGCAAAGTACTTGGTGTCGGTTTTCACTGAAAATTATCTTGTTATTCGAGTATGTAAAATGTAGATAAGCCGATTATTTAAAGCAAAGCAGAAACTCAATTTTGCTATATTCTAGTGCGAGCAGCAGAATGAAATTACTCTTAATAACTTGTCTGTTTGTTGTGGGCAACTGGATCGCCCCGGTTGTTTCCAAAGACGCAGCTCTCGAGACAGTGAGCAAGCATGGCAAGCTGTCTGTCGACGGTGTTAATCTGGTAAACCAAAATGGAGAAAGGGTGCAATTGAAAGGTATGAGTCTCTTCTGGAGTATATGGATGCCATACTATTACAACAAGACAACCGTCGACGCGGTAAAAGCTAACTGTCACTCCAATATAGTAAGGCCTATGTTGGCAATAGACACTAAGGATGGCGGATATTTGACGGATCCAGATGGTCAAGAAGCTCTTATCTACGCAGTTATAGATGCAGCTATCGAAGATGACATATACGTCCTTATTGACTGGCAAGATTTTGAAGCAGAAAACCACTTGGAACAGTCGTTGTACTTCTTTGATAAATTATCAAAGACATACGGTAGCTATCCCAATATTATCTATGAACCTTACAACGAACCTATAAGCCTCGAATGGTCCAGCGTTGTAAAACCCTACCATGAAGCTGTCATCAAGACTATTCGTGCCAATGATCCAGACAACTTGATCGTTGTAGGCACCCCACAGTGGTCCCAACGATTGGACTTGGCAGCCGCTGATCCAATCACAGGCTTTGACAATATCATGTATTCGTTGCACTTTTACGCCGGTACTCATCAACAGTGGGAGAGGGACATTACCAAAGCCGCTATTGACGGAGGGCTTCCTGTATTCGTATCTGAATATGGTACCGTCAATGCTGATGCCAGTCCACCAGTAAACGTATCGGAAACCCTCTTGTGGTATGAGTTTATGGAGGAGAGGGGTATGTCTTACGTAAACTTCGCCGTGTCCGACAAAGATGAAGGAGCTGCTGCCATGATTCCCGGCACACCCCCCGACAAAACTTGCGCAGAGGAGTACTTGACCGAATCAGGAAAAATCGTTGTTGAACACAATAAAGCTTAAATATGTGATTTTGCTATATATTATAATAAATGCTATATACACGCCTACTTCTTATTAATTAATGAATAATCCGCAACTTTGATAACTTATGTTTCTTCAAGAGAAACATTTCCTCTAATCGTTCACGTACAATAAGGTGTTTGCCTCCTCAGATATTAACAGAAATAAATACTGTGACGAAAAATCTTGCCCTGTATTTATATATGAAATTAAAAAATATATAAAATTAAATCAAAGACAGCTGTGACGCGCTAGACTGCCTTCATTGCGCCATCTATTAACAGGAAGATCAACTAAAATCTCACACCACTGTCCTCCTTTTATTTTCTAATAGGGAGATAACGAATAGTTCTCTTATCGAACCTTTCCTTGTCTTCCCACATCTCCAACGTTGCTAAAAAGCTAACTTAAAATCATGCATAGTATTTAAAACATTCTAGAAACCTGTTTTCCTTTATTTTCCATGGACATAGTGGGACAACATAATATGGTCACCGCATTTAATTAAAGTTGTACAACTACTAGAAAACGTTCAACGAAAAGCCACCAGACAAATAATCTGAATTAAGCAGCCTGCCCACCACCTGACCACCTGCTCAATGACATTGTGACCGCGACATCTGTGGGTTTGTTCAAGAAAAAATATGACATTCAAATCAAGTGAACTCATTTAAGCCTATATTTTATTGAACATGTCTTGCTTTCCTCCATCTTGTCTCTCTGTGTGTAATGTAGGTATTTGTATTAACTGTATGTATTGTAATCATGTATAATTATTTAGTATTTTTAGTTTAGTAGTAAGTATTTTATCGACTTCTGTCTATGTTTAGAGCATAATAGGTTCCGACTTCTGCTTATCTTATCAGTTTAATAATAACAATAATAATACTTTTCTTCCACACTGTATATTATCTCACAACTTAAAGCAAACAAGTAACACGTTATACAATTTATTTACATGACGTTATATACATTAAAATCTCTTGTTTTGAGAACTCTTTATTAGATGTCACTTCAAAATGTCTTACTTAAATCATATCTGATCTAGTGTGTATATCCAAAAATCAGTTTTGCAAACAAATTCTCGCTGAGATTGGTGTTGAAGCATATTATAATCGTTGCCGATATTTTAGTAAATTTTAAAAATGGTTGACGTTAAATAGTTGCTTCTTTTATTGCCTTTAATAATCTTTATTACTGACATTCTGGTAATTTGTCATGTTAGGTTTTTACTGGACATTATAAATGATTATCAATATTATTGCTGAATCCTGGTTGTAATATTTGTTAAATTAGGATGGTCTTAGTTATTAATTACCACAGACCAACTAGAACTAGGCTGTATGTATCAATCCCAAACCATGAGTATAGGCTTTCCAATCTCAATTGATGGCCAAAGAGCTAGTATGTTCAAGGTTCGGTCGCAACGCAACAACTCGGCAATGAAATATATGAAAAACTTGTTCCCATATTTATTTAGCCATACCCATATTATACAGGTCTGGTCGAACTAAACGTGGAAGTGGTGAAAATGAATAGGACCAGTTGACGAACGCGCACGCGGCCAAACGCCGCACAAACACAGCCGCACTGGGCCATAAATTTCAGTTGCTGACAAATTGCCTAGCAGTGCAGCGCAGCAATGCGGAATTATTTTATTGGTTCTTGACGAACATTTTAATGAAAATGTAAATGTTTTTTGATATGTCATAACGAAAATTTCAATATAATAAAATTGTTTGAGAACATCAATAAATTAAAATATGTTGTTGGCCAAATGAACATATAGAAATTTTCTACACATTATATACAAATTAATATTATTTGTTGCCTTTAGCAGAAAAGTTTTTTAGGGACGCTTATGAAACTCATTAAATTTTATTGCTAGGCGTTTTTATACATGTTCAACTGACTTCGGAAAGATTACACCACTAACACAAGATAATTTGAATATATTTATAGTTAGTTTATTTAATATTTGTCGTTTGTTAGATTTTACTGAATTAAATATTTTGACTTCATGATTTATTCTCACATCAATATACTTTTCACATACATCTCTTACAAGTTTTATTAAATCATTACAATTGTTAGGGAAATTATCAAATTAATGTTCATGCAAATTTTCGAATATTTTCTTTTCACTTAATTAATTTTTTTATCATTACGCCATACGTCGTCCTTACTGTACTCTTTTATGATCGAAGCCCATCTTTTCCATCAACAAGTATATAGTTCATATTTGTTTACTTGTTCATTATTTCTATTTTCGGAAAATGCCTATAAACAATATCTATATCTTATTGTACTGTACTCTTAATAATTAACACAATTATTTCAAAATATGAATAATTAATTTTTTTTCTTTTTGAGGAAAAACAAACATCGATGCTTGAAGTAACATTTCAGATAACGAACAAGTACCCTTGAACATATTTTCGTTTAAATTAATTTATTTTGTAGATAGTGTATAATGACATACTTTTGTTATCAAAAATAAAAAAAAAACAATTTTTTTTATAGAAATTAAAGTGGCACTTCATTTTCTTATAATCCTGCTACTGCTAATGGAAAAAATAGAAATGACATACTTTAAACTGTTTCAAATTATTTTATTAATTCATGTGTGCATATTTCTTTCTAATCTACTAATTAGGTATTTCATCATTTAATGATGTTTGATGGTAGTAAACTTAAGCGAAATTTATTTCTTAGTCCACTCTTAATGAAAATATGCTTACTCCGGAACAAGATACCTTTACTGTAATGGCACATGTACAAAGCAGAACTCGAAATGAAGATGGATGATGGACATATCCTTTACAATCCTACATTGAACAATTTATGACGTAATTTCTTCACGCAAACATTGACTATGACACTTCTTTAAACCGAAATGTGCTAAAGACTCTTTTAGAGTGACGTCACATATTTAGGCAGCCCGCAACAAATTGTCATAGTTGAAATTGTACAGACCGAATCTGACCCTTGTGTACTATTTACATAGATACTATGAAATTAATTTATTTTTACAAGGATTCAGAAGTATTTAAGAATAACCAACACGTCCTTGATGAAATAGACACACTAATGTGCTTAAAACTTACAAAAAACGATATAAACGAATATTTCTAAATTTAAATAAAGTAAAAATTTAACTTTAGCTGTGTTATTCCTAATGCGCATGCCCGGAAATAATAGGCTTATACGCAGGTGAGATCTTGTGGATATGTCATCGCTGTCATCATCAGCATATTTTCTCTTCATTTGTTTAATCTTGTCATTTTCTAGTTCTACTAAGTATTTTTATTGGTTTTCTTGGTGTTGTGCTGTGTCACTGTGTTTATCAAACGTTTTTTTTCTTCAAATGGTTTATTATAGATGTCCTCTTAACCAATACCAAACTTTTTCTGAATGCAGCCTATTGCGAGGCTACTTCGTTTACACGAAATTATTTTTAATGCAGGAGAGTAAATGTGTGCATTGTTAATGAAGGACATCATTTTGAATATTATATGTAATGTTTTTATCGCAACTATGACAATATAGCTTACTAACGGTATGAAATGGGTTTTCCCCATGATGAACTTGAGCGTTTCAATATTCATATCCTTGCTAAAAGATATGTTTTTCAAGTAATGTTCTACATAACATTTTGGACTGTCCAGGTGTTTTAAGTACCCACTAAACATTTTTCAGTTTCTGACATGTTTCAGAAACGTTTCCATTTTTCTCGAAACGTTTCATAAAAAATCCATGCAACGTTCTGGTAACGTTCTAGAAACCCAAGATGTCCTCCCCAAAATACGTTTCCAATGAAACGTTTAAAAAAATTGGTTTCAGTAACATTATTTTTATGTTCCATTTATGCCCTCGATATTTTTGTTTTACGTTTCAGTATATTTTCAGAAATGTTTGAGTAACATACTAATTTTATTACCATATTGTTCTCATAATGCTCTCAACTTTAGATAATTTTCATTTCAAAAGCGTTTTTGAAATAGTATAAATAGTGTGAGTAATTTTTTAAACATTTCTAATACTCTTTTGTGATATTTTTATTTGGATTGTGAATAACTTAATTCGAACTTCAGACAACTTTTTCTGATTTCTCAAAAAATTTAAGTAAAAAAGTTGTTACATTGTATATTAAAAAAATAAATAAATATGCTCTTCTAGTTTTGGGATGCGGCAACTTTTACCAAAAATTAATTTCTTTTTGAGAAGCCACTGAAAAAAGTTTCTAATATGGATTACGAATTTTGCCATTCATCGTACAAATAAAAATGTCACAAAACAATATCAGAAGCATTTTAAAAAAGCTACACATCATTTTATATTGTTCAAATACGCTTCTGAAATGGAAATTTTCTAATGTTGAGACCATCGTGAATATGGTAACAATGACGAACTGATAATTAGAAAAAGTTAGTTATGATTATGAATCTTGAAATGGTAGGTACATGAAAAACAAATAACATTACTGAAAAATAATATAAAGTTATAATTTCTTCTACGCATGGTCAATATTACATATATCCTTTTAATAATAATAAATTATACAGCAGAAATAAGGATACAAAATGATATCTTGACAAAGTAAATATCTGTAGGTATACCTAAACTCTTTTATTTAAGCATGCCTATACACATAAACAAATATAAACATTTGTACAAAATATAAAATAAATGACGTCTATTTCACTTGATTCATCCATATTTCAAATAGTTCTCACTGACTAAGTAGTTGCTCTTCAAATTATATCGAAACGTATAGTTGTTGTTCCATTTTCTTAGTTCTTGTCCCTTGTCCTCTTGTCTGTAATAGGTAGTGGGTATAACTATATTTAGGTAGATGTGACGCAAAATTGGAAATCTCTACACATATCGTTTTAAACATTTTGCATCAATATTCATTATTTTATATGCACCTTACAATAACCACAACTGCACACACTACAAATTATCACATAAAATAGCGTCAAAGTAAAGATGAATAACAACGAAACCAAGCAAACTGACAAACCGCAAACCTAACCTAACATAATACGAATTGAAACGACACACGGGAAACAAATAAACTCGGGCTGTTACGCGCAGTCTACGCAAGTCACGAACATACATTTTTTCTAGACTTGTGTTATAAATATGCTACCACATTTTTTTTTCTAATTATGTCTTTATATAACAAAGGCAAATGAACTAACGCTTGAGAAGGATTGGGGATTGAGAGCAAAATTTAACTAATGCCGAATGTTCCATAAGATAAGCAAAAATAGCAAAGGGTTGTTCGTCTGTTATGTTTCCGAGATCGAAAGGGAATGTTTCGAGTAATGTTTCAAACTCTCTTCAATTGTAACGTTTCGGCTATGTTTCACTAAATAAGTTTTCAAGTGCTACATTTCTGTAATGAAACAGAAACGTTTCTAGTTAATGTGTCAAATGTTTAGTAAAACAGCTCATTTGCAACATTTCATTTACGTTTCGTGTTTAGTGGGTAATATTAATATCAAAGTACCACGATTATCAACTAAAAGTAGGTAATAATATACTTAAATCAAAATAATAATAAATTGTTATAAGCTTACATCACGTTCTTTTTGCTTTCATAGTAAAAATTTGCAATTTATTCATCAACAAGTGAAGGTTGTAGTTTTCTAATTTTAATAAGCATTTCAACGAAAAAACGAAAGTATGTTTCGGAAGTATCTAATACTAAATTATATGTATTAAGTTTATAATATTAAGTTTAATATTATCTTTGGCACTTACATTTCTTATCGTGAGCTAAGAATCTCGTTTATGGGATTAAATATCTTTTGCATACCCAGATTTTTAGTGTCTGACAGGGTTCGTAGCGGCCGGGAAAACCGGGAGTACCGGGAAAAGTCAGGGAATTCGTTATTATTCATAAAAAAACAGGGAATAGTCAGGGAATTTGATGTTTGCACCTGGAAATTTTGTGAAAGCCGCCCCTGGGTTCTTGAAAGAAAACTATTTGTGGTTTTGAAACCTTTATAAGAGGTTCTTAGGGTATAAAAAAGATTATGGAGTCCAGTCGAGAAAAAATTTAATGCATAGACACCAATTAGTATGTAAAAATGAACTACAAGTGACTTGAATTTTTTTTTTGTAAGTCGGGGAAAACCTGGAAAAGTCAGGGAATTCTTTATTACTTTTGAACTATGAACCCTGTCTGAGAACATCGTTTGATTCGTATTTGTTACGTGACGTTCACATACGAATGCTTGCATTTTAAGGTTAAAAGGTTCAATTTAAGTTCAAAATATAATTTTCAGTAAAGTAAAAATGAACAAAAAACATATTGGGAATTTTTCCCAAAATTTCTAAATGCCGATGAAAATGATCTCATGATATTTTTGCCAGTTGAGTTATCAGTAAATACGCCCGTGTATTTGCGTGTTTTAAATAAACAAAACTGTTGTGATGTGAAGTACTTAATTGATTTATATTCAGTGACGACGTCGAAGATAAGTGTATTAGGTAGGAGAAACGGTATATAAGACGTATTGGGAGACGCTATACGTTGGTCTCTATATCCAACAATATTTTATTCTAAATGAACAAGTCAATTTTGTCGATTTGTCTGGTCGTGCTGGCCTTGTATATCGATTCCTCGATATCTAAGGATGCCGGCCAAGAAACAGTTTCCAAGCACGGTAAACTGTCCGTGAAAGGAGCCAACATAGTGAACCAGAATGGCGAGATAGTTCAGTTGAAAGGCATGTGTTTGTACTGGAGCATATGGAAGCCACAGTACTGGAACGAAGAAACAGTCCAAGGCATTCACGACTCGTGTCACTCCAACGTCATCCGAGCATCCATGGGCGTCGAGACAAACGATGGCGGTTACTTAACTGACCCAGACGGTCAGATGAAGTTAGTGGAAACCGTCATCGAGGCAGCAATTAAACATGACCTCTACATCATCGTGGACTGGCACGAAGAAAAGGCAGACACTCACCAAGCACAAGCTGTAGACTTCTTTGACAAAATCTCTAAGAAATATGGAAGCTACCCAAACCTCATGTACGAAACTTTCAACGAACCAACTACTCAGTCCTGGTCCAGCGTGCTTAAACCGTATCATGAAGCCGTTATCAAAGCCATCCGTGCCAATGACCCAGACAACATCATCATTTGCGGTACTGGCCAATGGTCACAGAGAGTCGACGAAGCCGCCGATGATCCTATCACGGGCTACAGCAATATCATGTACACTTTGCACTTCTACGCTGGCACCCACAAGCAATGGCTCCGTGACCTCACTCAAGGCGCTATCGACAAAGGTCTTCCCATTTTCGTTACAGAATATGGCACTGATAATGTAGATGTGGTCAATTGGGTGGATCCCGAAGAATCCCAGCTTTGGTGGGACTTCTGTGATAAAAATAACCTGTCCTATACTAACTGGGCCATATGCGACGTAGCCGAGGCATCTGCTGCTTTGATAGCAGACACACCCACCAATAAAGTATGCCAACAAGATTACCTGACGGAATCGGGCTTGCTCGTTGTCGCCCAGAATAAGAAATGAAATGGATATGACTGTATACGCTATGTATAACGTTTAATATATGTTTTGAGTATATTCTTTATTTGTCTGTGTTCTATGTAGCTCCCTTTATCCCACCTTTAAACTCACTTTTTTAGGAAAAAAATATTTAAAAATATCTGTCTTAATCCACTTACTAGTGGATCTTAAAAGTTTATATCTTTAATGTTGAAACTACTATGGTATATACGATTGTTTCAGGAATTTTCAAAATTTATCGTTTCATCTCTTCTGTAACGTACAATTTTCCTCATTTCTTCTATTCTACAGGGTGTTTCAGTATTAAGTCGACAAACTTTAACGAGATATTCCTCATAAAAAATAAGAAAAAAATCAAGTATACATTTTTTCCAGAGACGCTTCATTTTCGAAATATAGGAAATATATTTTAAAAAAAATCGAATTGTTTAAATAACTTCTCATTAACTCATTAAATTATAAAAAAAATTCACTGAATATAAAAAATGATGCTGTTTTTAGATAGAACAGTTTGTTATTGACAAAAAGTGTACATTCACTTTTTTTCCTAACTCATAGTTTCATGGCAAAATTGATTTTTCGGAAGGGTGCTTCTGGATTCTGTCGATAAACTTTAGGAAGACGTTCCTCATAAAACCTTAAGAAATATAGTACCTATTAAAATTGGTCTTAGTCTCGAGTATGTGCGAGTCAAATAAGACTGTCTCCCCTTCCTTTGGGTTTAACCAATAGTATTAAAATTATTTAGGAGATGTTTTGTTTTTGAGATATAGGGTGTTCTTTTAGAAAAAAAAAATGATGTTGATGAAAGCAATAGAAATATTTAAGCACCTAACATCTAATGTGACTATGTCGTAATGCGACAACGTAACGACCAATACTCCTAAATTTTTTCAGGCGGTTTGTAGTCACTTCATTTACTTGTGTTGTGTACTTTTAAATAAAATAAGATGGCAAACAATACATGAAAATTTATTTGTAAATTGAAACAACCAAAAAATTACCAATTAATATTATACCTAGACAAAGCGAAAAGTGAATAAAAAATGAAATGATTTAAAAAATATTTTATTCAAAATGGGCGCCTCCGGACCTCCTATGGAGGTAGTGGCCGATCGACACTGAATTGGAATTAATTCTCGACACGCTTGGACTATTCGCTGTCTTAGATCTTCTAAGGCAGGGGTCGGCAAGTAATTTTAGGTGGGGTCCGGATACTTTTGAAAATTTTTAACGAGGTCCAAAAAAAAATTCATATTTCTTATTTTTTTTATTTTAATTTGGACTCAAATTTAATCTACTTAAACGTAAAAAACATTTTTTCTACAAACGTCAAAAAATGACAAGGTTTGCGCATTGACAACAATATGCGAAGTGACACTTTTTTTCGGATTCTTACGTTACCATGACACCGTGCGCGAAATACTTCGCGCACTAGGGTGCGAAATATTTCGCACACTGCATGTAAATTAATAAGAGTTTTGTATTTCAATCTTTGAAAAAATGAAGCAAAACTTCAAATTATTATTTATTTTTAAATGAATAACAATTAAATACTTTTAAAATAATGATAGAATTTTACAATAACTTTAGTTATTATTTACAATATTAACATTAATCGTACAACCAGTACACGAACCAATATTTATTCCTAAACCAGATAATTCAGGTTCAGCTCGGGATATTGGGGTTTTGGGGGTTTGTTTGTAGAAAAAATATTGTTTGCATCTCGTGCGCGAACTACTTTGGTGGTCTCGGATAATTTTTATTCAATTCGAGACATTATTTTTTCAAATATTTTTATATATAATGTTTGGCAGTATTTTATTTTTTAATATATGATATCCATTGATTATGAGTTTAGAAATTAGTTCTTTATGTGGGAAAGGGGGCGACGTTTTATTCTGTAGGGTTTTTGTACGAATTTTATATATTAAGATTTAGTAGTTTTGTTTTCTTAGTATTTTGGATGAAGTAAATCTTGAATTAAATATTATACGTTTATTTATTCAAAATACAGAATCTACAGCTTATTTCTTGTTCTGAGGAATGACCAGTTTTCCAGATTCAGTCAGGTATTGGTCTTGGCAGGCCTGTTCAGCAGGAGTATTCGCGATCAATGCGGAAGCAGATTCGTCCTTGTCGGAAAGAGCCCAGTTGACGTAAGACATTTGGTTCTGGTCCAGCCAGTCCCACCAAAGTTGAGTTTCGGCCGCTTCTACGGTTCCATTTCCAGTTCCGGCGCAAGTGCCGTATTCAGATACGAAGATAGGGAGTCCATTGTTCATCACGTTTTGGATTCTGTCTCTCAACCATTGTTTGGTATCGACGGGGTAGAAGTGGAGGGTGTACATAATGTTGGTCTGACCCTGAATGGGATCGGCTAATACTTGGTCCAATTCTTGATCGTAATGTGGGGAACCCAGCAGGATTATGTTGTCGGGATCGTTGGCACGAATAACTTTGATGATCTCTTCGTGGTAGGGTTTCACGACACTTGACCATGCGATGTCGAGGGGTTCGTTGTAGGTCTCATAGATCAAATTTGGGTAACCGCCGTATTTCTTCGAGATCTGCTCAAAGAATCCTTTGGCTTGTTCCAAATGTTGTTCCGCGTGCCAATCGTGCCAATCAGCAATTACGTAGATGTCATTCTGGATAGCTGCCTCGATAACGGTTTCCACCATTTGCATTTGGGTAGTTGGGTCGGTCAAGTAGCCATCATACTCAACGGCCATAGCAGCACGGACGATATTTGAGTGGCAGTAGTTGTGGACCGAGTCGATGGTGGGTTTAGTCCAGTATTTAGGCATCCATACGCTCCAGAATAGGGACATACCTTTCAACTGTAGGGCTTCACCATTTTGGTTGACCAATTGGGTACCCTTTACGGACAGTTTACCGTGCTTGCTTACGGTTTCCTGAGCGGCATCCTTCGATGAGCTCTGGTTGATCAAGGTGCCCAGTACAACTAAACAAAACAGCAGAAGTGACTTCATCTTGAAATGTTTTCAGAATACGTTAGAAAACACTGAATAAATAAGTAGTAAATCGTGGTTTAAATATTAGCCCTCTTATCTCGCTAAGACTTATCTCGAAAAATATAACTACACTTCAGTCTGATAAAGTGAAAATTCCCCAAACATTTTAAGCGCTTATCAGGTACATCAAAAGTTATTTCTAAACTATTTTTGACATAAGAGCGTATTTACCCAATAAACAAACTCCAATTGGGTACGCCTCTTGACATTTTGATTGACGTGTCACGAGCTAACTAAACTCTAGGATTGCGGAATCACGTAAACATTTTTTATTTCTCTGCACTCGGTGAATGCTAGGATACAGATGATTTAGATACATAATGGACTTTATTCACTAGTGTGCTAATTAGTAAATAATGAAGTCATTACACATCATTAGAGAAGTCTTCGATATGTTTTTGCATTTAATACTTTATCTAATCAACATTACATTTCATATTCCTACTAGGGAAAACCAATAAAAGGTTGAGTTGTTAAGATGTCAAAATTATAGTATTAAAGGGACTTATACGATCCGTGATATTAATCTTGCAATAGACTCTTTTGGTGTGACGTCACATATTTAGGCATCCTACAACAAATTGTCATAGTCGAAATTGTATAGACCGAATCTGACCCTTACATAGATAGGTACTACAAAAATGAACAACTTCAAATTAATTTATTTTTACAAGGATTTGGAAGTATTTAAGAACAACCAATACGTGTTTCGTAAAATAGATACACTAATATCCTTAAAACTTACAAAAAACGATATAAAAGAATATTCCTAAATTTAAATGATGTAAAAATTTAACATTAGCCGTGTTATTCCTAATGCGCATGCTCGGAAAGAATAGCCTCATACGCAGGTGAGATCTTGTTGATATGTCATCGCTGTCGTCTTTAGCGTATTTTCTCTTTTGTTTAATCTTTTACATTTTCTGGTTCTACTAAGTATTCTTATCGTGTTAGTGTGTTAATCGAGTGTTTTTTTCATGTGGTTTATTATCGCCGTACTTTAAACCATAACCAAACTTTTCTGGAATGATATCCTGTTGCGAGGCTACTTCGCTTACATGAAAATATCTTTAATGCGCACGCTCAGTAACATTGATATAATTTTAAATTATTAATTACTATAAAAGTCAATATTGTTCTATAAATTTAAATATATAGATTCTATAATGATTTTAGTTTGTCACTTGGGGTTTGAAACTTCTTAAATATTTCTAATATCGCCAGAATATCGCGATATTTAAGGTCATGACAAAGAGGACATTTTTTGGCACTTATGTCCAAGGTACATAAGGTCGAAAATCGATCTAATAAAAATATTGAGAAATTCTCCATGACAGCGTGCACTATGAGGTTGCCTATTATTTGGCGTGTGTGACGTCACTACTAAAAAGGTCTACTCATTTGACTCGTGTGCTTTGTTGATCGGATACTGTAGTTGTAAGAGTTTTGTGAAAAAAAGTCCATTTTAACATCTACCAAATAAAGCAAATAAATGTTTTTTACGGTTTAGAAAATTTCATTTGTTAATTTACTTCTAGATTCGATTAATATTATCACATCTAAAATAAGTAGTGTCATTTCTCGAGTTTATTGTATTCGGATCGGTGAGATTTTTATTTTTAAACTTTTAGAGGACACGCGCGCAATAAGTACTTCAAAATTTAACGTGCGAGTGTCGTTATCTCGATGGGCACTTGATAGTTATGTGTACACAAACAACACTTACTGAAATATTAAATTACAAAACGTGATTTTATCACTGGTGAATATGAGGATGCAATAAAAATGCCCGAGGATCATGAAATAACGCAAACACTTTTTATGTGTAATATGTCCACAGAGTGGGGAAAAAAGTTTTATAATTTTTAAATGTGGGATCTATGGAATCAAATGTGTGCTTGTTGTGAAAACATCTTGTCAAAGTCACAAGGTCAGTCTTGAATACTGTAGTAAAGTTTACTAAGCATTTTGGTGTTTTTTTTTTGTTTATAGTCTATGCTTTGTGATAGCTGTTCAAAAATGATATTTAGACACTAAACTCCTTATATACTTTTTTAAGTACTAGACTATTGCTGGTTAGTAAAAATGAGACATAGTTCCAACTTTAACGATATCAACCCTCCTAGGCAAAATGTCTTATATTTTTTTGTATAAGTGTTATTGTTTAGTTAATTCCTACAAACCGGTGCATTTTCCTTATATAATAGTTCAATTTTAATCTGTTTTTATGGAGGCAAACTGTATGCTTTGTGGGTAAGTTTCCTAAGCGTTACAAACTAGAAAACTCAATAAATACAAATATTTTTAGTAGCATAGAACTTTGAACCTGGCGCGTGGGGATATTTACAGAATGATTTCTCTATATGGGATAAAAATCTCGCAGATATAACACTTCAAATATTTTCCTGATTTTGTATTACAAACACTTACCTGATTATTTTTATAAAACAACAAACAAATTCAATACTTATCAGGATAAGGACTCCTCGATATACATTTCCAAAAGTGTAAACACTTATATTTTTTATTTACTTCTTCAATTTAGCTAACAATGTTTTAAGATCTTTATCTCATTTTTTAACGAAGGAATATTCTGGTTTTTGTAAACAGCTGGAATAAACAACCTCATTTACCTCATTTATTTGTTTTAAGAACCCAGGTCTTAATTACAAACAGTAATTATATAATTTTTCGTGGCAATTACTGTTATATTTTAATTAAAAACAATTTTTTCAGTATTTCGAATAAAGCTATTTTGGTAAATGTTCATTGAACATTTGAATAAACATTAAATTAAGTAATTAGTTGTTTATGACAAAGATTCAGGGAAAAATCTAAAAGTCAAGTGGAAACAAAATCATGTCCATCTCGACACAGTCTCGTCACAGACATAAGTGGATTCTATCTAATCTTTAGCCATAATTCTGATGAATTCTTAGTTATGTAAATCCAACTTTTTGCGATTTTTTTATTTAACTTTTGAACCGACTTGTTAAGACTTGTCATTTGTGTTATATTTTTAGTTGGTGCTCCCAAACTACATGCGGGTATTTTAATAAGCGTTTGTTGTGACCTAAAATGCTTAATTTTCAGTGTACAATGCGTTTAAAATTGTACCCACGCTTTACAATGTACCATTAGTACCCTAACATCCACATCCAGTCTACTAAATTTGATTAAAATTCCACAGACAAAAATGCAAAATTCGATTTACGTAATTTTACTCAAATACGGTCACTATAATCCAACTTGTTGCGAAAACTTGTAATTTCAAATATCGCTATCAAAATTTGAAAAAATAGTTACGTAAAAAATATAACAGTATTTATTCTACATGAGGTGATTTTTGGACATTTTTTAAGTGTACATTGGAAGGCATAAAAAGTGCATGTGTACAATTTAATTTACGTATCTTTAAACGCTTTGAAAATATTAAAAGAAATCCGAAGAAAAACATTCCGTACCTCGAAAACTACACATTTTAGGCGACATGCTTATAGGAAATGTTCCTCATAAAATCGCCTAAACAACCTCTTAAAATATCTGCATGTTTTGTATATTCTTTAGTTCATACTTTCAGATCCAAAAATCAAAAATCAACATGATTGGTGAAAAAAATAAGGTGTCCAGATACTATTGGGCTATCGTCTACTGCAGATACATCTATATCACTTGCTTGTCTCATCATCTGCATATGACGTCAAGTTTAACCCATTAATTTAATGTAAATCACATTTAATTATCTGTAGAGGCAGACGAACTGATAACGGAAATGTATATAAGTAGGCATAATTTAACGTTAGGTAGTGTTGTATGGTCGCAGTGAGCACAACCACTTGAACATGAGATTCGCATTCGTCCTCCTAGCTGTATTGGGCAGCTCAATCAACTTCGCCTTCTCGAAGGATGCTTTGAATGAACCCGTGAGCAAGCATGGACAACTTTCCGTCAGTGGTAACAAGTTGGTTAACGCAAATGGCGAAGAGGTACAATTGAAAGGCATGTCTCTAGCATGGAGCATCTGGTGGCCCCAATACTATAACGAACCAACCGTTGAAGGCGTTAAGAACGGTTGCCATTCCAACGTTATTCGTGCCCCTCTGGCTATCGAGACGAACGATGGTGGATACTTGACCGACCCCGAGGGACAGAAGAAGCTGATCGTGGACGTCATCGAGGCGGCAATCAAGCACGACATATACGTCATCGTCGATTGGCATGAAGAGAAGGCCGAGACTCACTTGGAACAAGCGGTAGACTTCTTCGACCAAATCTCCAAGACGTACGGAGGCTACCCCAACATCATCTACGAGACTTTCAATGAACCAACAACCCAGTCATGGTCTGACGTACTCAAGCCATACCACGAGGCTGTCATCAAAGCCATTCGTGCTAATGATCCAGACAATATTATCATTGTAGGTACACCTACTTGGTCCCAGAGTGTGGACCAGGCAGCTGCTGATCCTATCACAGACTATGATAATATTTTGTACTCTCTCCACTTCTACGCTGGTACCCACACACAGTGGCTTAGAGATACTACTAAGGCTGCTCTTGACAAGGGAATTGGTATCTTCGTCACTGAATACGGAACCACTAAGGCTGACGCAACTCCCCCAATTGCTCTGGAGGAAACCAAGTTGTGGTGGTCTTTCATGGATGAGAACAATATGTCTTATGTAAACTACGATATCACCGACAAAGAATCAGAAGCAGCTTCTGTGTTGGTCCCTGGAACCACTGCTGAAAACGTATGCAAGGAAGGTTATTTGACCGAATCTGGACTTCTTGTCGTGGAACAAAACAAAAAATAAATCATCCTTTTGTTGACCTGTAAACTTGAATACACAATATACTAAATCATATTTATTTTTTTTATTTTTATAATTTATTATCTTCATTCCTATACTTAGAACTTGGTGTCGATACACTGCAAAGCTGTAGTCAGTATTAAAATGCCCAAATACGAAAATTATCATATGTCCCCTACAACAATCAAAAGACAAATTAAGTTTATTCAAATTTGTTAAACTTAAAGTGTTTAAACTATATACTCGTATATACGATATTTGTACATATTTACTTTAAAAGTAGTTGCTTTTAGCTTTTAGCCTTTTAGCTAAAATTTAATCTTTTTGAAAAATCTAAGGACTGGTACTATGAAGTATCCTTTATCTTATCAAAGTTATGGTAAAATATGCCGGTATACAAACTATTTGTTTTTTTTTTTTTCAAACTGGTTGCCCTACTATTATCTAACAACATAATAAACAATTAAAACTACGAAACTATCAAAAACTGAGGTGTACCTGTTTTTGTTTCCATATCAATAGTCTATTCTAGTCTTAGAAATTGTTATAAAAATTAATGTTAGCTAAAAAAAATAATTCAAGAGACAAAAAAGTGGTATTTTTAGTTGGTTAATTAAAAAAAACAATAAAAGTTAGTGGCGCACATTTTTTTTGACAAAAATGTTGCTAATTTTTTCGCGGACTTACAGGGACATACGTATTAAAGGAAACTACCTGTTTTGTACTGTGTGTGAACGCATTGTAAATTCTTATGACAAAACTAAAGTGACAAGACATTTGAAGAGCCATGTCTCGCCCAGCGCTGAAGACTGTATTTTTCTATGAGCTTACAGACGCCTTTCTTTCAAGCAATATTCCATTAAACAAACTAGAGAACCCCAAGTTCCGTAATTCCGTAAATTAGAATCACATGGACTATCCCTAAATCCTTAGGGAAAATGGCTTTTTGCTACTTTTTTTTGTAACTGCTATGTGATAGTTCTGATCGCGTGTATCAAAAGTCTCAATGGGCATAAAGTCTGGAAGTCCTTTGTTTTGGAGCTACGCCCCCAGAAAGTTTTTCCCCTTACTATGCAAAGTAAAAATACAGCACTGATTTTTTTTTTTGTAAAATTACATTGCATTCATAATAAATGGACCTTGCCCGAACGAGATAGTTTGAATTTCCGGATCCGACCAGAAGTATACTATTCGGACCGGAAGTCAGTTTTTTCAAATAAAATAGTATATTTTTGTGTGGGTTTCCATTCAATACAGAAAAATGAAACTTTTGTTTAAAACATTTTTTCTAAAATTCGTTTTGTTGAGCCTTAAATGACCTTTGAAGTTGACCTTGTGCTGATTCCCGTTAAAGACTAAATGAATATGGAAAAAAAAACAAGAATCCGTTAAAGATCTTTGAGAAAACTGTTACGAAATTAAAAAATGCCAAAAAAAGATCAACATGTTCCATATTCTTAGGATGATTAATGTTTTCACTATATCACAAAAGTTGCAAGTAAAATGCAATAAATTTCAGCTAATTTCTGAGTTCATAAAAAATAAAATAGAATTGTTCCCTTATTATCTATCTAGAACTGATACAATTTCAAGCAAATAATAACGTAAACTAAGGTACCTATTAAAAAATGGCAGATAAAGGATACACTGCAAAGAAAAAACACATACCAAATAATAATAAACTGATTTTATTTGCGATATACATTAATATGTTAAAAAAATAACAGTATGCATTGAAACCATTGCAAAAAGGCAGAGTTCAAGTTAGAACCTGTTCTTCCACTCAACCTTCACAAAACAAAACTAATTATTGTGCTATTAAATCTAAAAAGCATTTTATAAATTTATAGTACAATAAGGGTAAACATATACGTATATATAATCAATTACAATTAAAGGACTATCGAAAGAAAAAAACACAAAGTGACACTATGTACTCGTACCTACATTAAGGTGCTGACATAACATAAGACGTCGTTGAATAAAAGTTACAATTACTTCGAGATAAGAGGGGAAATTGAAATTATTTATCACGCTAACAAGTATGTTCAGGCCTACATAAAATGGATTCGGGTCAAAAACGTTGATATGCAAGTAAGACTTTTAACGGGCGAGCAATTGTAACTCTGCTATGCTGATTCGTTGAAGGAAACGGAGACGTAGTTAATTAACGTTTATTTCAACTTGATCCTAATACATGTATTTCGATATCTTTCCATTCAACACCACGTTTCACTACTTCTAAAGCAAAATTAATTTTAATATATTCAATATTTTCAAGAATTAAGAATAGTTTTAATGGGCGAGCAATTGTAACTCTGCTCTGCTGATTCGTTGAAGGAAACGGAGACGTAGTTAATTAACGTTTGTTTCAACTTGATCCTAATACATATATTTCGATATCTTTCCATTCAACACCACGTTTCACTACTTCTAAAGCAAAATTAATTTTAATATAATATATACTTTCAAGAATTAAGAGTAGTTTTCAACTATTCAATACTTATATCAGTCTTATTGTACAGCTGCTCAATACTCTATCCGCAAAAAAAATACAAAACATTATCAAATTATTTTCCTTGCAGATAATCGTGTCAGAAATACTAACCATTCCGAAACAAATTGAACCTTTATTATTTTGTTTCAAATAAACATCAAATAATAATTGCAAGTTTGATACGAATTATAGAAAAAATTTTTTGAATGGCTATTTGTTTTTTAACATTTCTGTTTGATCCTTCATTTATTTGCTGTCTTTCAAAAGGTCTTCGTAAAGCAATTTCTGAAATTTTACAAGTATACTGCTCTATAATATGAATTTGAAAATCATCTAATCCATTGTCTTTAATATCAGGTATCTCTTAGATGGGAATCTCTATCTCTCTCTCTTTCTAGTGACTACTATCTACCGTGATATGCTTCTCTTTCAATATGAGGATTGGGTTTAGTAAAACCATTCGAAATAGGATTAACAGTTTTCAACTATTCAATATTTATATCAGCTTTAGCTGCTATTATACAGCTGCTCAACACTCTCGCTGCCAAAATATAGTAATTTATACCACAAACAGTATTATCAAATTATTTTCGTTGCAGATAATCATACCAGAAATATTAACCATTCTGAAGCAAATTGAACCTTTATTATTTTGTTTCAAATAAACATCAAATAATAATTGCATGTTTGATACGAATTACAGTAAAAAAAAATTTAAAGGAACGGTTCCTTTTTTTTAAATTCTGTTCGATCCTTGATTTATTTGCTGCCTTTCAAAAGGCCTTCGTAAAGCAATTTCTGAAATTTTACTGCTTTATAAGATGAATTTGAAAATCATCTAATCCATTGTCTTTATCATCATGTATCTCTTAGATGGGAATCTCTATCTCTCTCTCTCTCTCTTTCTAGTGACAACTATCTACCGTGATTTGCCTCTCTTTCTATTTGACAATTAAGTTTAGTCAAACCATTGCAAATAGGATTAATAGTTTTCAACTATTCAATACTTATATCAGTTTTAGCTGTTTTAGCTACTCAACACTGTAGCTGTCAAAAAAATTGAAATTTATATATGGTACCACAAACAGTATTATCAAATTATTTTCGTTGTAGATAATCGTACTAGAAATACTAACTATTCTGAAACAAATTGAACCTCTGTTATTTTGTTTCAATAAACTTCAAATAATTGCAAGTTTCATACGAATTGTAGTAATTTTTTTGAAATGGATTATTTATTTTTTAATATTTCTGCATTTATCTGCTGTCTTTCAAAAGGTCTTCGTAAAGCAATTTCTGAAATTTTACAATTACACTGCTCTATAATATGAATTTGAAAATCATCTAATCCATTGTCTTTATCATCATGTAGGTATCTCTTATATGGGAATCTCTACCTCTCTCTCTTTCTAGTAACAAGTATCTACCGTGATTTGCCTCTTTTTCATTTCAACGATTAGGTTTAGTCAAACCATTCGAAATAGGATTAATAGTTTTCAACTATTCAATACTTATATCAGTTTTAGCTGCTATTATACAGCTGCTCAACATTTTAGCTGCCAAAATATAGTTATTTATATTTGGTAGTACAAACAGTATTACATATCAAATTATTTTCGTTGCAGATAATCATACCAGAAATTTTAACCATTCTGAAGCAAATTGAACCTTTATTATTTTGTTGCAAATAAACATCAAATAATAATTGCATGTTTGATACGAATTACAGTAAAAAAATTTTTAATGGACTGTTTCTTTTTTAAAATTCTGTTCGATCCTTCATTTATTTGCTGTCTTTCAAAAGGTCTTCGTAAAGCAATTTCTGAAATTTTACAGGTATACTGCTTTATAAGATGAATTTGAAAATCATCTAATCCATTGTCTTTATCATCATGTATCTCTTAAATGGGAATCTCTATCTCTCACTCTCTCTTTCTAGTGACAACTATCTACCGTGATTTGTCTCTCTTTCTATTTGACAATTAAGTTTAGTCAAACCATTGCAAATAGGATTAATAGTTTCTAACTATTCAATACTTATATCAGTTTTAGCTATTTTAGCTGCTCAACACTGTAGCTGTCAAGAAAATAGAAATTTATATTTGGTACCGCAAACAGTATTATCAAATTATTTCGTTATAGATAATCGTACTAGAAATACTAACTATTCTGAAACAAATTGAACCTATATTATTTTGTTTCAAATAAACTTCAAATAATTGCAAGTTTCATACAAATTGTAGTAATTTTTTTGAAATGGATTATTTATTTTTTAATATGTCTGTCATTTATCTGCTGTCTTTCAAAAGGTCTTCGTAAAGCAATTTCTGAAATTTTACAATTACACTGCTCTATAATATGAATTTGAAAATCATCTAATGCATTGTCTTTATCATCATGTACGTATCTCTTATATGGGAATCTCTATCTCTCTCTCTTTCTAGTGACAAGTATCTACCGTGATTTGCCTCTTTTTCAATTTGACAATTAGGCTTAGTTAAACCATTCGAAATAGGATTTATTGTTGTCAACTATTCAATACTTCAGTTCAGTTTTAGCTG